TAGAGCATTTCTACAAATACGAGTATGGAAGAAGATTTTTGTTAAGAACGGACCATGCAGCTCTCAAATGGCTTCTGCAGTTCAAAAATTCCAAGGGCCAAGTAGCGCGCTGGATTGAGAGACTACAAGAATTTGACTTCGAAATAAAACATCGAGCTGGGACTAGCCATAAAAACGCAAATGTCCTGTCACGGAGACCATGCCCCGATGACTGCTCACATTGCCGACGAGCAGAAGAGAAGGAAGCAGCTATTTGTAGAACTACAACTGGGAGGACAATATGATTAAGGAAGACCAAGAGTAAGACCCAGATCTTGGTTTAGTCATCGGATGGAAGAAAAGTAATCAAAGACCATCGTGGCAGAAGATTGCAGGTTTTTCGCCAGCGGTAAAGTCCTATTGGGCCCAATGGAACTCCCTTACCTTTAAAAACGGGGTTCTGAAGCGGGTGTTGGAGTCTGAAGACGGTGGAGAAGAAAGGCGCCAGACAGTGGTACCCAGGGGCAGATGACGGGAGGTGCTCAAAGAAATCCATGATGGAGTCACTGGAGGACATCTGGGAGTAACGAAGACCCTCCAGAAAGTAAGACAACGGTTTTACTGGGTCAATTGTCAAGCCGACGTCAAGGACTGATGCAGAAAGTGTGCTATACGCGCTGCCAGTAACGGACCTCGGATACGACCGGAAGCTCCAATGCGCCAGTATAACGTGGGTAGTCCTTTTGAGAGAATCGCCGTCGTCATCGCCAGCCCCTTCCCAGAGGCCGACCATGAGAACAAATACATTCTCGTAGCCATGGACTACTTCAGCAAGTAGGCAGAAGCCTATGCCCTGCCCAACCAGGAAGCCTTTACCGTCGCTGACGTCCAGGTAAAGGAATGGATATGTCGATTCGGTGTTCTATTGGAGCTGTATTCAGACCAGGCCCACAGCCCTACATCCACAGTCCGATGGAATGGTGGAACGAATGAATAAGACCATAAACCGCCACTTGTCCAAGGTAGTCTCTGACCATCAAAGAGACTGGAACCAATACCTCCACCTGTTCCTGCTGGCTTATCGTTCGGCAGTGCACGAGTCAACCGGCCAAACCCCTGCCAGTATTATCATGGGCCGAGAGCTGCGGCTTCCTTGCGACCTGAAATTTGGGACGCCGCCAGAACAAGACACTGCGGGGAAGACTATGTCAGCTAGCTTCGGCAGAGAATGGACGACATCCATGAACGAGTCTGTCTGAACATCCGGAGTGCCAGCGATAGGATGAAGAAGGCCTATGACATCAAGGCGAATGCTGGAGAATTTGATACCGGTGACCTAGTTTGGCTATACAACCCTAAGCGACGCCGTGGTTTATCACCGAAGTTGCGGAACTCGTGGGAAGGTCCGTACAAAATCATAAAAAAGATTAATGACCTCGTCTACCGAATCAATAAGCCACCTCGAGGAAAGCCTAGGGTCGTCCATTTTAATAGATTGGCTCCTTATGCTGGAAATCACGACCAAGTTCGCGCCCTCAGACCACCAGAGGATGAAATGACGTTCCAGAAGTGTATGTCCTTGTACTCGAACGGACAGAAGGTCGTACATGGGGTAACTCAAGAAGATCCACGAGACCTTGTCAAGGTTCCAGTTGATTACGCACTAGCTCACTGCGTGGCAGAGGATCACCAAATGTCCAAGGGTATCGCTGTGGTATTCAACAAGAAATTCGGTCAGCTCCAAACATTACGAGAATAGAATCCTGAAGTCGGAGGAGTGCTACAGTTGAAGAAGGGCCTGAGAAACATTTTCTACTTGGTGACCAAAAAGCATTCTCGAGACAAATCGTCCTATGAAGATGTCTGGAGGAGTCTTACTAGACTGAAGGATACGATGCTCGACCAGAATCTCGTGGACTTGGCAATCCCGAAATTAGCCTCTGGGCTCGACAGGCTGGACTGGAGAATTGTGAGGAGCATGTTGGAAACGATCTTCAAATCCAGCGGCATCAAGATTTTGGTGTGCGGTAACCATTTTCCACGACCGAGCATAAAGACTGTGGAGTGTTACTTCCATTGAACTTCACAGTGTAGATATGGGGAATCCTGCAGGTATCGACACTCGCCAAGGATGACATTTCGGGGCGAAACGTCTTTATGAAGGTGGCAATGTAACGAATCTGAAGCCGGCCCTGACGGATATCTCAGTCAGCAAACACATGACTCACGGCGAACCGCCGCGAAAGGTATAGATGAGTGCCGAAACCCCTAGAGAGATCTGGAGCGATCGTTGCCGATATAAAAAGGCCGCTTCTCGTTCAGAGCAGTAGTTTGCATTCAGAAAGCGAATCGTGCGTTCAAATAAAGAATTCGAACAGTAAAGATAAATTAAGCGTTAGTTGCTAAGTGTTGAATATAAATTAGTTGTGATAGTGAAATATTGTTAAAAATAAATTTGTTTGGGACAGTTAATTCTTTAATTCGTTACAGTATCTTTCCTAGGTTAAAGTTTCATTATGATCTATATCAATAATACAGGGTATTCCATCTCAGACGAGCCACCCCGTATATTTCTTATCCCATAATGAATGGAAAAATTTTCCGAAACACGTCGAATTATTTTGTTTGGGGGACATATTTTGACGTATATTTGAGGCTTGAACGAGCAACCCCCTTATAGGGGGCTCTTCAACCCCTCAAACTTGAATAGGTGAGAGGGGTTGAGTGATACTTTATTAGAAAAGTCTTGGAAGCCTCTTCAAAACGGCGTATGAAAAACGTAAATTTGATGAACCGTTTTCGCCAAAAATCTATTTTGCAGCTCGAATGAGCCACTTTGAATAATTTGGTTATTTTTACATGTACAAGCCCATTTTTATTAAGCCCTTTTTCCAAACTTAAACAATCTTCATAAAATCACATTCATGAAAAAATTGAATTGTTTTATCATCATGCTTACAATCAAAAAATCAAATCTGCGTATTCAAATCAAATGTTCAAATTGTCCTCCATTGCATACAATAATACAATCTTGACTGAAAACCGTCTCTGACATGGTTCAGCATAATTGGATTGACGACACTCATTCACAATTCTTTGGCGTAGTTCGTCCAAATTTTCAGGGTGAGTCACAAAAATCTTGGACTTGAGATGTCCCCACAACAAGATGTTCAGAGTTCAGTTGTTAACGGATCAATCGCATTTTCCAGCATTTCAAGATAACGATCGCCAGTTAAATTACCAGCAATAAACGGAGGTCCAATTAGGTGGTCTCCCAAAATTCCTACCCAAACGTTTAGCTTTTCTGGATGTTGAATGTGAGCTTCTCGAAATACATGAGGATTTGTATCGCTCCAAATTCTACAGTTATGCCTTCTCATAGTTCAGTGGTGCATATATTTGATTAATTTAGTAGTTTCACAGAATCCCTCCTACTATATGCCATAAAAAAAATCTCACTTTATACAATGGGTTCAAATTTTTCGAAAATATGTGGTTTTTACAGGATTTGCGCGCCTACACCTTTAAGAGATTTGTTTTGATTTCTCCCAAAATTTACTTAAAGAAACATTTTTGTTTCCTTAAGTAAATGAATCCCACTGGATATGAGTATAATTTTTGATGAAATTTTCCATTATTCTCCCCTCCTGTAAAGATGCTGGATCTATAATCATGGACAAAACATTTTGTGCTGACGAAAATAATTTTTTTATTTATATTTACTACTGAAAAATGTAGATATGTAAGGAGAATATTGTAAATCGATCTTCTTGTGAGTCACATCACTATCAGTCATTATTGAGTAAATTATTGAATGGGATCATGCTCCACTATTGTCTTTCAGTTAGAAGATATACTGAATTGTTGCTAAAATGACATATTTGCATATTTGGTTTATTTTACTATTTCATAGAATCCCTCCTACTCTCTGCAAAAATATTTATCTCACTTTGTACAATGTAGCATGATTTGCATGCCTACACCCTCAAGCGATTCTGTTTTGATTTCTCCTGAAATTAATTTCGTTCTTACAATAAATTGATGGATGTAGCCGTGTCTACGTGGTAGGAGACCATCATGAAAAATAATACTTTCTATGTTTTTTTACCACTTTTATTTGTAAGTAACGTTACTGCAGTTTCATCCTATAAGGACATTTTCAAACTTATGGAACGAAACTAACAGTTTTCTTTGCATAATCTACACATCATTATAAAGAATTTATTTTTGCTTTTTTCCTCTTTTTGAAAGTTTCCCACATTTTTTGTATAAAGATGGAGAAGTTGAAAGCCGAATCCATTCTTTTCCAAAAATTTATCTCTTCAAAAAGTATACCCTTCAAATTTAAACAAGATTCCTATAGCTTTCATCGATTACATGAGTAGATTTAACTCATTCCTGACATAAAGTCGTAATATTATGAATGAATTGATTATTTTATTTTGTAAAGTTAACCAGATTGGAGCTAAAGAGGCAATAAGAAAGGTGGCTTATTCCGAAACATCGATGTTCACCCTTGAGGATGACGAGTGTTTCATGTAAGTGAAATTTCCTTTTTTTCATATACTATATTGTGTTGCAATCCTGTGAATGAGTCTGATTCAATTCCATACCGAATTTTTGGAGTGGGTACAAGTTACAAACTGACTAGGAAAACGTGTTTTTTGTATAATTCAATGTTCATATAAAAGTAGTTGTTTCAGAAGTATTTTTCTTTTCGTGTAATTCAGTGTTTAGGTATAAGAAAGTAGATGCTTTGAAAAGGCTTTATCTTCCAGTTTGAGTCTGAAAGTTACTTCTTTCCACAATCTACACATCACTGTAAAGATCTCATTTTGAAATTAATTGTTTTTTCTTCATTTGAAAGTTTTTCACATTTTTCTGTCCCAAAAGTTAATCTGTCCTAAAATATACCCCTTTTAATTTAAATTTTGAGATTGATTTTATAACTTTTGCTTAGCTTGATTTTGGATACGTTTTTTTTTAATTTCATTTCCTTTTTCCTAAATAAAATAGCATTCTTTTACACATTTTATTAACAAAAATAGCACTCATCTGATACAAGAGAAATAAATATAACATAAATATACATTCCCTTCGAGAAAGATGATCTTATAGGACAAACAGTATTTTTTCAATTTGTTTTTTTTTTATAGTGATTGTACTTTTGATGACGACAGTTGATAATCCTTATAACCTCATCTGACTATGTGTGAACCATACCTCAATTCAGTGTTTGGTAAACGGTAATGAGGCTCCCAAAGGTATCTGATTTCGCTTCCTAAACTTCTGTCAATCTGTAATAAAAAACATTAGAGACAATAAACTCATAACTAATTAGATGAAACAAAAGTTTGAATAAATTTGACCTTGGTAGTTAAACATTAGTTGCAAGTTGGAATACAGTACATGTGTACATGTGTGTACAGATTCACTATTAGTATTTTGTCCATCTAAGCAATGGAGTGCTCCAAAATAGTATCATGCATAGTGCACGTGATCTCCCAGACAATGCTGCTTGTACAGAGTCGCACTAAGGAGCGAACGAAATTTTATTCATTTTTAATAATATGCGGCTGGATATAGGAACATTATTTGGTATGTAGGGACACGAATTAGTAGTTTCTTCAGCTGTATCAGTACTTGACATTAAAAAAATTTTAAACTTTAAAATACTTATACACCACAGGCGTTAAAACGTAACTGACCAGACACTAACAATGAATTACGCAAGCCGATTGCGGTTAAATCTGATTGGTCAGCGTAAGGAGGCTTGTTTATTTTACCCAATAGATTTTGATCTCGCATCTATCTTTGGGCTAATTTTTTTGTTGGGTGGATATAGTTTGGATAAATTATTATATTGGTAATGAATAAATCAATTCTGTGTATTTATTTCTTGTGAATATTTTAATTGGAGTTGAATTTTTGAATACATTACTTGAAAATTCATAACACTATCTATACAATTATCCGTGTACGTACATTCATATAACTGTTAATTAAGGTCTGAAGTTTGTATAAAATGTATTGTAAAATAGTTACCACTTCAACTTAAGAAGCTGTGTAGTGAAACACATCTTGAATAAAGTTCATATTGAGAAAATTTTATGATTATTAACATGGATAGTAACATAAAAATATTTACCTCAACATTGCATGAAAAGAATATTTCTTCTTTTTCGGGAAACCTAAATGAAGTGAAATTCGAATATAATAAAGTTTTGTGTTCCACTGGGCTCTTGAATTTCTTCCATTCATTCATTATTTTCTTCTTGCTGCAAAAAAATAATAGGGTATGGTGACGTATAAATACGATGAAATTAGGGATTTTACAAAAAGTTATCGATGCATCAGACGAAATAAACATTTATAATTGTACAGTTTTTGACTCATGTTAAGAATAATAGAATATAATTTTTTTAACTGAAATTGTGTCACGGCATATATTGTACTAATTCACATCGATTGCTCGATTTAGTCAGTATAATGGAGCAATTTCAAAAATTTTAAAAAAACACCAAAATGGATCTTTGTACGTGATGTACGTCTATGTTGACTGTAGATACCTAAAGATATATTAACTTTGTTTTGAAACAAATTTTTATAAAATCATGTATTTATTATGATCTCAAAAGTTAGCTGGGTATTTTCTTATATCAAAAATTGTACATACCCTTTTGAACGTTTTGTCAAACTAAGTTTATGACCAGAAAAGTCCAAATTTGGATTATCATGAGCCCAACAATCATCTACATGTACATTATAGGAACCGGAGCTATCAATTAAAAAAATAATGATTGTCACTGGCTGTCCAATACCAACAAACGACGTCTCCTGCAAGAAATTGAAACCATTTCTGAAAAAGATGATGATAATTCGGGCTTCCTACTCTTAATGGGAAACTGGCAGAGAACCAAAAATATTTATTTGGATATAACCCTGATAATAAATTTTCGAAAACAATTTTGTAAATGTAATGAAAATGATTTGGGTGAGGTATAATCTACGCAGAAAATATTGTAGGTATAAATATTTCAGTACGTGAATCTAAAATCAAGTATCTGGAAACGCCTTGTGCAGTTATTCTATTACTGTGCAACATATCGTTGTCAAATAGATGCTGCAACTTATTGAACTTCTCGATGTAATTTCCTGGTAGTCTGGTAAGAATAGAATATAGTGAGTAACCTGGAGATTTGTAGTTCAAAACGTGACAACTTACTGTTATTTTCAGTGTTTTTTTTTGCAATAGCTTGATAATAAAAAATTTTATCTTCGAGGTATAATATCCTTAAAAAATAGAACACATGATATTCTCCTTCTTCATGAGTTGTATTCAGTATATGAGTCTAATGTCCAATTGAAAGTTATGTAAAATTAAAACCTGAAACATTACATAGTTATAAGAAAATACTTATAAATACTTATAGTTATAAGAAAATACTGTTTAACATACATATTTAGTGGACTCATATCATAAGTGACACAAAAATAACACTTAAGAACACAACTATTACAAGAATTCCTTGGTTTACTTCGATCATGTCTTAGCCTAAACTGACTTTTATCGACAACTCTGGTGTGATTTATCAGTAGAATAATTTTCGCGGTGTTTATTATCCCCTCCATTACGATTCATCATTACTTCCAGTATTCTCGATATTCGATAGCAGGCACCTTCAAGGTTACTTGTCCTGGAGACTGCTCGATTCTGACGTCACCAATTGGGAATATCGTTTAATGGATTATAAATAATTATTCTTTCTGTGAGAACGGACCACAATCTTCGTACTATTCACAGTAGGAGAAGGTGAAGTGGAGCCAGAGAAATCGATTGAAAAAAAATTCAGCGCACCGTCCATGGTGCAATGGGAAACATCCCTCGCATCGAAACGAAGACTGGCCTGAAGAACGCTACGACATGGATCCAACAGACGATTCTTCAATCCATGGAGCGAAGAACACTGGACGGCCTAGCCACGCGCTCACTCTACAGGATCAGATAACACCGGAAGCAGTGGAACTCATCAGGATCATAAAACACCTGAAGAGAAGATACCAACGTACACTTGCTCTAATGGACAAGAGGTGCATGTACATAACCGGCATACTCCTGTGGCAAGAGCTGCAAGCACTTCGAGACCGACAATGGATAACCAGTTTGGTAGAACTAAACACCGATCAGGAGGAAACTGAAGCATCTGCTGACAATTTCGAAAGATAATGTAAAGAGAATGATCTCCTAATTTCTGCTGAGCTGGAACATATCCAGCATTAAGTCGAACAGTGGCTCAACTCCAGTGGGAGGGGGTTGGGTGATCAGAACGGGTAATGTTTTGACTGTTGCGGTTGAATGCGTTAGACTTCAATTTTTTTTGTCAAAATTTTCATCAACACTATGGTTTGGTACAAGCACACATCTTTTCATTAGAACTTTATAGATATTCGTGGCTTTAAATTACGATCGCTTTCCCATCTGGTTTCACTGGGGGCAAAATAAGGAGTAGATTTGACAATAATTTTGACCAGTTGCTGTTGCCAGGCAAAGAATTAGTACCAGTTTTTCTAGTATTTCTGATTTTTTGAAAATAACCTACATAGTTATTGACTGATCATTTTTTGTGTTGTTTTGATATATCACCTGAATATAAGCGAAGTGACCTTCTACGAGTGAAATTTTGTTCCTGATCGAAATTCTGTTTTAGGGGACCAATGTCTGGTGAACACATTAACGAGTAACGCTTGTGCCAGTCTCTTGATTTGGAATAGGAGTAATCTCAGGTAATTCGGGAGATATAGTCACCTTCAAGTATTTGTTACCATTGCTCGTCTAGTATATCTTCTGCGACTCTGTCAAGAAGGGTTCTGGAAAAATATTCTTTACATTATTCCTCAACGTCAAGGCGACAATTGACTATGTAGCAACTCGAACTCGTGGCATAGCCATTTCGATGCGAAAGTCTCATCTTGTTTGATTCCTGCTTTTCTTCCAGCACATCTTGAACTTTTGCTCTTGGTAATACCAAAGCACTATCGATTTTTCGTCCGGATTCTTACACTTGCGATAAAATTAAATAGGCATGGGGAATCCGACTCAGCCCACTTCCAGCAGGCCGATCTCCATTGGAACATGTTCTAGATATACCTAGTTTTTATTTTGTTGAGGGTATTATATAGAAGTCATATTACTGAAATCGTTCTAACTAATCCTCCGACTTTTGAAGTTTATGATTCACCAAAGAGCATTATATTAGGTAGGTGAAGACGAGATGGTGATATTTAATTATGACTAGGAGTCCCCTTCCTGATAATAACAGTTTTGCTAGGTTCAACCCAAAACTTTGTGGGTGTTGTTTCCTCTTAATCGGTGATTGTGTTGGCCAGTGATTGCACAGTCTGTGAACATTTTCTACTGCCGATCCAGTTCTTCACTGCATCGATCATTGGTGAGTTATAGCTATTTGAAAGACTCTCCAAGAATGTTGAATATTTTTCCTTTTTCCTATTAAGATTAGGTTATCCAGAGAGACAAGGTACATTTTGAATGGAAAACCTCTCGCTAGTAATCTCTAATCAAGGTGTTTTCAATCCGATATCAATTAATTCGGCTGTCTATAGTTTAGAAACGGATTGACTGTTCTTTCTTCATACTTGTTACTGTTAGAAATGTCGATTTTTCAATAACACCTATGTTGCATGTTGTCAATCATGCCAATTAATTACTTGTTCTTTTCGGAAATAGGGCCTTATTGAAGTTTTTCTGCTTGGATTAATATCCTCGGTATTTATTGGATACTGAACTAACTTTTTCGCTTCGAAAATCCATATTCAACTATATGAAATAGACGATATACATAATTTTAGTGAAATTATTTTACCATTCCCCTCTTCTTCAGCTAGTTTCACGATTATATGGAGATCTGCTAGAATTCTGTTTGACAAACAGAATTCTAGCAGAATTTTTTCTTGATGTTTCAAATTAATTCATTTTGTCCATGTCACAGTTCAGAAAGCAGTTATACATAATTTCAGCTTCCAATTGAGGATGCTCGTTATATTATGGGTTCTGTTTGTCCCGTAACCTAATATCAAGTTCTGCGGGACTGACTCAACAGATTTGATGTGTTGGAATTGACCAATACTCGATGAAAATTCATAATGTATTTAGGTAACACTTCATTGTGAGATTTACACTAAACACAACTCTGAACGCCTTTTGGCAGTATTTTCTTGATCTCGATTGCGAATCTAATAAGCACGAGTAGTAGAATCCTTTGTTTTTGAATTTTTTCATTACAGAAAATGTGTAATTGAGTTATAACATTTTTGGATGATCTGTCATGTTATAAGAGAATACTCATTCCGACGTTCAAGAATAAATCGATGGCCACTTAGTAAATTTCTCAATGTTACCGATCTACAAAAACTTAGCTCTATCAGGCTAGCAAGGCGAATCCAGCAAAATTGCAAAAAAATACATCAATTCGTAGCTAATTAGTTGCTAATTAGTTGCCAAAACAACGATTTTGTTGTTCGTGCCGATCCCTAGAAATCGCAAATAATGCTATCGTGATATCAAGTCTCATTCTTGCTACCTTGAAACTGCTTTTCTTTGGAATGAAAAGTGTTTCAAATTTGTTGCTCGTCAGGAGGGTACTCAAATACACCTTGAATATCAGCAACATAATAGTTGAAACCGATCGGCCAATTTTTAATTCTTTTTTTCATTTTCCTCGTTCTTGCTATCTTGAAAATGGTTTTCCTTAGAATGAAAAGTGTTTCAAAATTGTTGCTCACCAGGAGTATACTCAAATACACCTTGAGTATCAGCAACACTATCCAGTTTTACCAGTTTCGAAATAGCAAGAACGAGGAAAATAAAAAAAATTAAATCGGCCGATCGGTTACAACTATTCTGTTGCTGATACTCAAGGTGTATTTGAGTATACTCCTGGTGAGCAACAAATTTGAAACACTTTTTATTCTAAGGAAAACCAGTTTCAAAATAGCAAGAACGAGGAAAATTAAAGAAAAATTAAAAATCGACCGACAGGTTTCAACTACTTTGTTGCTGATACTCAAGGTGTATTTGAGTATACTCCAGGTGAGCAACAAATTTGAAACACTTTTTATTCTAATGAAAACCAGTTTCAAGATAGCAAGAACGTGGAAAATAAAAAAAATTAAAAATCGGCCGATCGGTTTCAACTATTTTGTTGCTGATACTCAAGGTGTATTTGAGTATACTCCCGGTGAGCAACAAATTTGAAACACTTTTTATTCTAATGAAAACCAGTTTCAAGATAGCAAGAACGTGGAAAATAAAAAAAAATTTAAAATCGGCCGATCGGTTTCAACTATTTTGTTGCTGTTACTCAAGGTGTATTTAAGTTTACTCTTGGTGAGCAACACATTTAGAACATCTTTAATTCCAGGAAAAAACAGTTTCAAGATAGCAAGATCATAAAAATTGCTAGTCACAGAAGTTTCAAGGTGGCCTTGAATTCATGGCGTAAAATAAACGTATCGACGATACATATATAGTAAGTCCACGTTTGCAATGGAAATTATTCAGTTTTGCATGGCAAACTAATTAATCTTTTTACTTACTTGTACATTTGGGTAATTTCCTTTGAATATCTGCATATATATCATTGCTCCTTCATATGTGTTTGAAAAATTGATATATTTTAATCTGGATGAGGGCCCAATTTTAAATGAGCGGTGACTGGAGACCATATACTGTAAATGACTTGATATGTGATTTGAATGGAAAGTGACAAAAATATGTTACGTTGAAAATCAATGTGAAAAAATCACTTTCATGTAGATTACAGAAAAGTTGCTTCGACTTAGGAAAAATCATTCGCAATACTCTTTTCAGATAATTAATTTTTCTATTTATTCAATTATCAACGTGCTTTTAACGGCTCAACTTCAAGTTATATATTTTCACTCAGTGGCATACTCAAGGGAGTAGTAGCCCTATTACAACATTTCCCCAAAAAAATTCTGGAGTCAGGATAGATTAAGATGTGATCTGAGAACATGCTTGGTAGAAACTCGTGCTAGGTACAGCAAGCGCCAAACGTGATGGCGAGCCCGTCAATTTAACCCCCACTACAGCTCTTGCAAGACATATAAATGTTCTGCACAGAAGCGTATCATTACTTGTCCTCCAACGCTGTTAGCGTTTGGCATTGTCTGAATAATTTGTGTTGTTTCTGAAAAAGTGTTATCGCCTAAGAAAAAACTAGTCATCAAGAATCATTGTTAAATGTTAGTCGGGTACGTTATCAAATATGAAAAATAAAACATCTCTGGCTACAGGTAACATTGAATAAATTTAAAAAATAACTATTTCAACACAAATGTCTATTTTTTGTATTAGGTATTTCAATTAGAACCAATGAAAAAGTGGTTAAAGAAGAAGCGCAATTAATTTTCTGCATATAACGGAGAAGTAAAATTTTCCACCTCAAAAAAAAAGCGGCCTAGAAGAGCACCAGTAACTGATATTCCCGAGTACGAGTATTCACAGATTAGACGGATTATTTACGACTTTCATAAGACGAAAGATTGTCGTATTACGGTAAAAAAGTTCATAATGGACATATATATTCCAAGAACTGGACGGATGAATCAACCAATGGATTATTTAAAAATATTGGGAAGGAACCAAGACTCATTATTGTCCATGCAGGAAATGACATGCAGGGCCGTCGCCATGGGAAGGGACGGGAAAGAACCAGGAGAAGGTTGGAATTTCCCAACATGCATAACTTGGAGATCCATAATTTGAAATTCTGAGTTGTTTCAAAACTTCAAAAAAGTTCAATTAATATATTATAGTAGTAACTAATCCCTTGGCTTCCATTTTTTAGAAAGTTGGGAAATTTTTCTGGTGGAGTTGGGAAAATTTGGATTTCCTCCCCCCTGGTATTTCTTTTCGCTACGGCCCTGATGACATGCACTTTATACCTAATTGTCGGCTAATATTTGAAGCAGGCACAACATCAGGAGATTATCATTCAGAAATGAATTCTGAAAATTATGGTAAATGATTACAAGAAAAGGTAATCCCAAATTTACATGTGAATTCGGTAGTCGTGACCGACCGGTAGGCTGACATGGTGAAGTGGCTGCACGAAAAAAGTATTACGTTCACTCCTAACATGCTCAAACCCAAATTATACAAGTTGATCAAGGTAAATGAAAAGCATCATGTTAGATATAAATTTGATGAGGTTCTGCTTGAACACGGACATAACGTTTTGCGACTTCCACTGTACCATCCGGATTTGAATCCCATTAAACTCATTTGGGCTACTATCAAAAACAACAAAAAAAATGTAACTTATTTCAAGTTGGAAGTTGTGAGGAATCTGGAGCACGAGTTTGATCAAATCATTTCCGAGAAATGGCAAAAGCGTTACCGACATGTAGTAGATATAGAGCGGAAATATTGGGAAAATGAAACATTCACAGACGTTCAGAGGTAAATCTAGCGATTATAAATTTGAAATACGATAGCAGCACAAGCAGCAATGAATATAGAGAAAATTTGTACTCAGATAGTGACTGATTAAAGTTTATTTTTGGATAAGTGTATCATTATATAACATTTTAATAAAGTGTACCATTTACACTTACTACCTATAATACTAAATGAAATATGAAAAGAAATTACAAAGAAGTCATGTTCCATTTGCTACCCTAATTAAAACTAATTTAAGATAGGACAACGGCCGGCGAGGGGCTTATCGTAATCCAACAGTAATTCATTTAGGAGATTCTGTATCGGCGCGATCACTCGCCATCACATTAAGTGCTTGCTGTATACAATAGACTGGTGAAGAATTGAAGGGAAAACGAATATATACAGCCGTGTTAAGGGATCAGTAAAACAAACAATCTTTGGAGTTTTCAAAAACAGCTCCGATTTATTGATGATTTTTTATAATAATTTTTTTTTGTTTTTAATCAGACACCTCTTGAAGCGGAGTCAGAATTTTATATTTTAAAAAATAGCATGATATTCATATAAGAAAGGCATTATTGCCAGGTTTTTTTGAAAAAATACTTCTTTTATTGATTAATATAATAAAAGTACATTAGATATGCACATAATAAGTATGGTACCAACGTAAAAGTTCGTTTGTAATGGATATGATACTCATGGATTTGAAGCGTCAGAGAAAAATCATAGATATATAAGTTATACCAACTTCAATAGATTATTTATATCCCTTGATATGCCTTGAAAAAAAAATCAGTTCCATTCTCTTCGGTTTTGAGATAGTTATTTCTTTGTTAACCCCATTCTTCTGAAGGTTATTATTATTTTTCAATTTTGGAACTTGAAAGTGCAGTCTTTTAATATGATAGGTTTTTTTGACTCCATCCAATATTGCGTAAGGCATCGGTTACCTAGCTGAGTCTGAAAGTAAGGCCCAAGTAGGTCACCGAATCTTGCAATGGTAGTTCATCTAGGAGGCTAAAGTACAGATTGTTAATTATATGAAGACGGTGGTGGTATTCGAGTGTTTGAAGAGAATGGTTTGGGCTTTGTCGAGATTGAGTTTGATTCGCCACTTGATGAAAAGAACTGTATAACTGTTTCGAAAAATAGAAATCAGCTCAAAACAATTACAGGGCCCCCACTTTACATTTAGAGAACACCCGAACAAATCATGATAATATATTGGGCAAGATTATGTCGGATCAGGCAAATGTATTACTCCTTATGAGGCTAAATATTGAGTTAGGAATTGACAATCTCGACCACGTGGTACATAAACACGGAGTCAAAGATAGATAAAGATAATTTAAGTTTTTCCAGATCCTCGCTACACAGGAGTTTTTGCGAAAGGTACATTTTGCAACAGGGTTTGTCTCTAATTAATTTATAATTACTTGAACCTCTGTTTCTGGAGAAGAGTGTACTTAAGAGGAGTAGCAACTCGACGTGAAGATCAGAATATGATATGAATCTTAATGGGAATCTCCTGAAAACAGGGAGACCATGGACTTTTTAGTAGTGCATGTCAACCATTTCATATTTTAGCGTTAGTAAAATTATTCGTGGTGGAATCACTGCTAATTGACACCTCTGACTTTCACTGATATAACAACACTATCACTGTCAGCGACGAAAAAGTTGTATTTCAGTTTATTAATCTGAAAAAATGAAAAACCTGGCTTTTACACATAATATTAATTTTTCCACAAATTTGCAAGTATACTTCAGATTTATTGGACGGTTACTTACTGAATTAACATCAACACACACTAACACACATTCAAGAAACAAATACCATAAAAAACACCTTTCCATCATCGAAGAGTGATTAGATAATCAAGTTAAGATGTTTATTTATATCGCTGTATCCTGCCTACTCTTCGAGAAGATAGGAAGTACGCGTTTCCAACATTTTACAGACAATTAAAACATTACGAAATTACTATTGAGTGTTTTCACTTTTTTTGTCTGGGTCATCTACCAATGACACACATCTTTGAGCACGCGGAAGAGTAAATTCACGTAGATATTCGAAGAGTTTATATTTGACAATGTCGTCACAACCGTTACATTATGATACAAAAACAAAATAAAAGTGTTACTTATAAGAAACCTATCAATACGGGAGAGGAAAGGATTGTATTCATTGTGATTGTATCTAAATGATGTTGAAATGATTCAAAAATTCCAACAACAAAGTTTCTCTTGCGATGCCTCAATTGATCAATTTCACAGGTCTGCGATGAAAAAATTGTAGGATATTTAACTAGTGATTTTATCAGTATTTTGTGTGCAGATTACGGAAAAAATAGTAAAAAAATTCTATCACTTATAGATAAGTCACAAATTTCACCTGAAATTTTCTTATTAAATGGGTTTTTAGGTTCGGTATGGGTTCGATGTATCTGTATTATGTAGCCTATATAAGCGGTAAATTGAGTCTGAATTATGTCTAGACTTAAAGAAAGACATATGTTAGCCTCCGGTGTTTCATTTTCATGGTACCTACCGATTTAGAGAAAGGGAATTTGTCCCTTTTTACCAATAGGGTGACCTAGTTTTCTGTAACAATGTACCCGGCGCCATGGAAATGTTCAACATAACGTATGCACCAGAGAAATGGAGACTTTTCATCGATTCATCAAAAAGAAGTTTGAAAGCTGTACTTCTTCACAATGGGAATAAATATGCTTCTGTGCCTGTTGGACGTTGGACATTCAGTCCATTTGAAAGAATGCTTTGCAAATCTTGAATTATTTGTTCTTAATAAGCTCAGCTACTCTGATCATAAGTGGATCATTTGTGGAGACTCGAAAGTTATTTCAATGTTACTAGGTCAACAAAGTGGTTACACTAAGTTTCCATGTTTCCTATGTGAATGGGATAGCCGTGACAGGAAACAACACTATGTCAAGTAGGTGTGGCCAATAAGAAAGTGTCTTATTCCTGGAGTTAAAAATGTTGAAAAACAAATTTTAGTGGATCCTAAAAAAATCTTACTTCCACCACTCCATATCAAATTGGGCAAATGAAACAAAATGTGAAAGCATTAAACAAAGAAGGAGATTGTTTCAAGAACGATTCCATCAAGACATAAAAGAAATGGAACGCAGATAGCAAGGTCGGTGGAATGTTAACATGATGGCAGACTACTGTTGGATTTAAAAAGGGAAAATTCACAAGAACGCAGCCGAAAAAGTACCAAAAGAAGCATTGACGAAAAAAGAAAACGTTTTTACAAAGACTTATAATCACTTTGCAAACACTTGTGTATCACTATTATGCTTACTTTAGCTATGTAGCATTTTTTTTTTGCTTTCACTTCATGTTACAATAATAAAAATAAATTCACAATTCCTCGTTTTTTTGTACTTTTTCAATTATTTTATCCTTATTTTGTAGGTAAAGCATACGTGATAGATAAAAACAAATGTCATTTTCGAAATCAGCGCAAAAAACTACATAAAGATAAGTGAACGAAATCAAAACAATTTTTTAAAAAGTTTTTTTTGCAGACTTGTGTTTTTTGTCGTCGAATATAGTGAAAAAGTGAAAAAATGTCAGGAATGAATAATGGAAGTAGATATACCTACTTACAACAAAATGTATTCATGATAAATGACAGCCACTTATAAAATATCATCAAGTTAAATGGTCATTCCTCAATATCGAGATAATACTTTAGTCTAGTAATGAAATTTTTTTTAGCTGGGCTGATTTTTTTCACGCCCTCAAATCATAAGGTCTATTGAAATAATTCTGAGATTTCAAATGACCCAAGAGGAAATAACTAATTGGGAATAAATCTAGCGGTCCTTTTGGCCATTTTATTTTTCCCGTGAACCACTTCAGAATTCAGGAAATATTTGATATTGATATTCCATAGTTAAACATGTCAAATCTGAACACCTTACGAAAACAAAATTATGCGATTGAATGATTGAAAAGAATGTTCTTAAAGTATTAATTATCACTCAATCTGCTCGGCAGTTCAGTATTGTTCACCATCAAAAGTTGGAGGGAGGTTTCAATTATTGCGGAATCAGTGAGTCTCACTATTATTTTTATTTCATGAATCGTGTGGTGTTTGAGACCTTTCAGTTATTCCTACGACATTGCTATATCTCTTCATTTTCATATAAATTTTCATTCATGAAGTGTATTTTGATAAATTTTTCTGAAATGGCCTAGTGTTCAAATCCTGAACCAATTTCGAAATGTATATGTGTATTCTCTACAATTCATTTAATATAAGTAGCTTTCACATTTATGAACGAATCATTACTTCCCATATCTATGTTTTCACTGGCAAGAAATGATTTCCAAGAAAAATCAAGAAGTCACATAAGAAAGGACACATAAGAAGATAAAGAATTCAGAAGTACCTATTGCCTTTTTTGTCATCAGTCATTTACTTTATTTGAAATAAAAAACTGACTCAATCCTTCACTAAATGCAGTGGAGTCTGAATTTTAGGAATCACGAGTATTTAGACACTGTTCCTAATAAACCCAAATTGCAAGCTATTTTTCACTTTCCCTTTAATATATTTATTACATTCTGCGTGGGTTACGAAATGTTCTCGTCGCCATTTATGCTTCCATAGAGCTTAGAAAAGATATTCCAAATTGCAACACCATTATTAATTTATCAATAGATCCATACCTCATCGTAAAACTCGGTTCCAAACTTGTGCGAAGCAGTCTCCCGCAAAACATCTGTTTACAAAAAGTGGCTAGTATTTATATCTTCGTATACAGGAGTGAAAAGTCTATATCTACTATCATTTATTAGCCTAATATATGACAATGCTTTCGACTACGATTCAATTTTTCAGCTCTTATACCTTATACCTATCTCCAATACCTAGATAAGGGATTCTCTGGATGTTGGATTGAGCGTAGAGGGCATATGAAATGTGGGACCTTGATAGCCATTCTATATGCCCTCTATTATGCTTGGTGCCCCTCTCCCGAAGTGAAGGAACAGATTCTTTCAACTGAACCAGCAAACTTTGAAGAACTAGGACAACGAATCACATATGTGTGCGTTACTATAACATTAGACATTCTGATAAACATGAAGGCGGAATTTCTAGTAGAGTTTATCAGTGTCAAAAGGTTGATAGTAGTCATTTTGAACACCTTATCAAATAAAATAAAACTTTGTTTCATGAATAGCATTTATTATTAATCTTTTTTATTAATCGAAAACGGGTGACCGTAGTGACCTCTAGCTTATGCAAAAACGTTTGTTCATTCAAGGACTTTAAAATGAGCTACATATTGATATATAGTGTTTCATTTGAGATTTTTGGGTGCAGCCCCCTTGGTGCCGCCCCTTCAAGCCTCTGCAAGGATGAATAACTTGTAGATGCGTAAAGAAGTATATTTCTTTGTACATATGTATTAGCTTAGGTACTCGGTATATATCAGTTCAAATTTTATATTGTATCACCTGCGTACGGCACTGACATGTAGAATTTGTTTAGTAGATAAAAATTCTAGGACGCATAATCATGTGCATGAAATCAGTGAAAAGTATTTGGAATAGCTATATTAGCTCGCATAAGTTTCTCAACTTCTGAGAGCTGTCGTTTGTATAGGGCGACAGCTGATTAACGAAAAAACAGATTTTAAACAGATTTTGAACAGATTTTAAACAGTGTCACATTTATCGTATCTGCACATATCGAAATATGGATAAATCCAATTACCATGATGACATATTGAAGGATGTAACTGATGAAGAATTGGAAGATTTGAAAAATAAGTACAAACATCAGAGTATGATACCGATGGCAAGTAATGCTCTGCATAACGCAAAAAAACTGAGAGAGAAAGGATGCTGCGGAATGACAGTTTTGTCCCCAGGAAAAGGAGATGGAACTGTTTTCATATCGTTAGAGGTGAGTATAAGAAAACAAAAATTGGATAAAGATAGCTCATGTTCACGTTATGGTAATTTATACATTTCAAAAATTATAACAATGCAGTAAAAACTTGAAAAAATAATGAATGATTGATCTATATTAATGTTTTCTTTCTTAAAGTTAATCTTTTTATGTACTATAATCTCCACAAAAATACTTCAGAACAGTATTATTCTAATCTATGTATCTATGTTTTAACGTTCTTAAGGCTGTTTGGTGAATCTAACTTATGAAGTTGAAAGTCTCTAGCGCAGAAGTTCTCAAACTTTTTGTGACAAAACCTACTTAGAAAGCGAAATGCTTGACGGAACCCTACAATAAAACAATAGTTTTCAAAAGTGTATTTTTTATTACTGAGCATAATGAAAGGACAATGTAACAGTTACTTATTAATTACTTACATGACAAGTAAACTAATAGAATACATTAAAAAAAATCCAACTAATAGGAGGTATCAAATTGTTTTTTATTTTTCATCAATTTATTAGGTTTGATAGAAGACAGTTGAAGTCTCATATCAGGTTCGGTGTTCAATCTATTGCGGTATTTTGTTTTCGTGGCTGCATAAGTTGAGAATCCTTTTTCGCCCAAATATGTTGTTGGAAACGGGAGAAGAATACTCAGAGCCATTTTGGCAAGCATTGGATATTCATCACGGATTATGCACCAAAAATATTTAAGAGGCGCCGTTTTGAACAGGGACTCCATACTTGTGTCTGATTATATTTCTAAAAGAGATTCATATATCTCACTACACTACTATTTATTTCATCAGTAGGTAATAGTTTTTCTCACAACGTTTCTCAACAACTCAATTATTTCATTTTGCGGTACATTTTTCAAAATGATTTTCCAGTACTTTGTCTCCACTGTACATGTTTCCTCCTCTGTACTCTTTCCCTCTCAATGCTGTCATGTGTCGCACACAACAATTATGATGATATTATTGATGCTAGCTTCTCCCTATTTTCTAGAACCAGTTGTTTCTCTAAAGAATGAATCAGTTCAGATATTGTAGAAGACCGTTCAGAAAATATATTTTGGAATTAAATCGCTCTGCTTTTTGGGTACCTCTACCTTTCTGAATCTTCATGATTTTTTGCACTTTCACGAATATCTTATGATGCACTGTTTGGAACCTTTGGTGTTTAAATCTGTTTAAAATCTGTTTTTCCGTTAACCAGCTGTCGCACCCCTACGAACGACAACTCTCAGAAGTCGAAACTTGTGCGAGCTAAGGATTAACGAGGTCTTACCTTTTAACGTGTGATTCCTAACACGGTAGTAATGAATATTACTGGAGTTTTTTTCCAACACTCAACCCTCAGAAGTCGAAACTTCTGCGAGCTAAGGATTAACGAGGTCTTACCTTTTAACGTGTGATTCCTAACACGGTAGTAATGAATATTACTGGAGTTTTTTTCCAACACCAAATCGTTATTTTTAACACCTCGACACGTGTTTCGATCACCAAGTGATCATCTTCAAAGAGGAAGAGTAAAACTGAAGATTAAAAGTTTTAATCTTCCTCTTTGAAGATGATCACTTGGTGATCACTCATATATTGAATAAACCACTCTCTAATAAATGGCCTAGATGTTGATTTGGAGTCGAGTTTGAAATTGTACATATCATTGGGAATCCAAGGATTATGCTACAAATCATATTTTCTTTCATCTGGAATCGTTTGCTTTTCCAAAAAAAAAACCTAAATCATTATCATTTATACTCTTGGGAGAAGTCATTGTCGAAGTGCCACTAGTCCGAGCTTCTGGTTCTTCATGAATAACTTTCGCATTTTTTGCGGTGGTGAAGTCATTCCCCTGTTTTCTTTTTCGAAAAAATTTCGAATATCCATTGCCAAAGCTACGATTAGAAAGAGAAACAATGGAATACAACAAGACCTGAGAATAAAACTTACAAGCTAATTAAAATTACAGTAACCTGTGTACCAGATTTTTTGAGAAAAGAAATATTGCACACTCACGTAGAACTAGAACAATAACAATACTGAAACTTGTCGATACCACTTTGAAGCATGAAACAATGCTTCCTTCAACGGTGGCGTCGCCGAGGAAGGGGATGAGGTCTTGGGTCCTGTCAACGATAGGGCGGTGGCTATAACCCATAACCATTCCGAGAATCACTTTGTTTTTGTTACGACCGATGTTATGGCTGTAACCATACTGAGAATTATTTTGTTAAAATTCCGGTAATTGTGCATTTTTTTACAGTGCAGTTATATATTCTACATTTTCGATACATGCATAAATAGATGTATGTTGCCAGGTTCGGGGGGCGGCACGACTCCCCTTGCCTCAATCTACTGATGGGCACTTCAGTAAGATTGACATCTGATCTTCTTTGGTCAAAAGTCAGCCTCTAGGTGCTTTTATCGTATTGCTTTATCTTGACTTTCCTAACTGAATTTTTGCATGGAGTCCCCAAAAACTAACCGGAGACTATTGTTTCAATAATAATAATAATCATAATAATAGCCTTTATTACCCAACAGTTAAAAACCATTTACAGGATCAACAGAGTATGTTAAAAAAAGTAATATCGATCCTTATAATTACAAAGTTACAATTAGAGAAAATTAATGAATATTATAATATAAAATTAAAAAATGAATGCGATTAGTTTTAAGTACTATGCAGTGTCAACAAAATATTCTAGGGAGTCGAAATTGATATCACACAAATTTGAAATTAAATTGAAATTATTGCCAATGCTAAAGATGGGTGACTTGAGATTCAAATTAGTTCTGGTCAGTCGGCTGTAAAAAGTTTTTGTACCTCTAGTTCTAAATTTAGGCACACAGAAATTTATAAAAGATAACACCTCCATAGCATCCACATTGATGTGCAGTAATTTATACAGAAAAATTATTCCAGCTAGTTTCTGGGTAATTTCTGCGTAATTCAAGACTTTCAATATTGAATGTTATGGTAAGAGATTCATATGGAATACCTCTATCAGGATAGATACCATAAGGTTTGAAGTAAATAAACTTTAAGAAACGACGTTAATTTTTTCAATGAATGTATTATAGCAATTGTAGAATGGAGACCATATAACAGAGCCATATTCTAATTTTGACCTTACGTAGGCTACATAAAGAGTCAATAGAGCAGATATGTTTGAAAAAGATCTACAACACTAAAAAAATCGCCCGATCCTTATCAAGTTCGCCCGATATGATACCAAACATTCCATCTATAGCAACAAGAAAAAACTACGAGACAAAGGCATTGTTATTCGAGAGGACCTTACAAAAGAAAAATTGATTTGATGAAACTGGCCCTGGAAAAAGCTAAAACGAGAGATGGAATGATGTGGACCACCAATGGAAATATCTTCATAAAGTTTGGAGACATCGTCGCTAAAATTAGAAATGAAGAAGACATAACAAAAAATATTCAAACATTTTATAGTTATCATGAGCAAATGTTTTCATATATAATTTAAGGAATGCATATATTTCAATTTCTTTGTTATCAGTCAGTACCAGCAAAAAATGATCGACTGTTTGTATACATATTTCTTTTTCTGTTTTTTTTGTTTTTGTCTTATCTATAAACACGTTCGTATCTTCATTATTTCTTCCATTTACTGAATCAAATTACTTTTTTTTACTCCACCCATTTTTGTTAACTCAGTTTTTAATCACATTAATTTTAAAACAAGCCGAATATCGATATAAAAATCGGACACTTGAATATAAAATCGCTGCTGCCATCATTTACCGAATTTGATTTTGACATTTTATGTATTAGCGAAACCTGGCTCCACGGGGAAATAGATGGTAGCTTATTGATAGTAGACAGATATAAACTGTACAGGAAAGATCGTGGGTAGCGTGCAGGTGGATTATGTACTTATATATGCACAGAGTAAGTTATGTACATCACTCATACAAGTCGATGACAATATTGAAGAACAATGGATGAATTTGAAAGTAAAAAAAGAAAATGTTGCCGTTGGAGTGGTTTACAGACCACCATCACAGGATGTTTCTTATTTTTTAAATGAATTTGAAGATAGGTTAAGTGTTATTTCTTTATCTGTATCACATGTTATATGTACAGGTGACTTCAATATCAATTTGCTCAACTCGACAAATTCGTACGTTACCAATTTTTTATCTATCTTGGAAATACTCCATCTATCCCAAATAATTGACTTGCCGACGAGAATAACAAAATCAACTTCAACCTTGATTGACTTGATGATTGTACAAGATAAAGATAGAGTTATAGAAAAGGAGGTCGTGAATGTACACTTTTCCGATCACCAATTAGTATTTTGTGAATATCGTCTGTAGAAGCAACACAGAGAATCTAGGATGGCTACGAGTAGCGCTTTGAACAAAATGAATTTGGTGAATTTTGATTTCGATCTTAATAAAATTCCATTATTTTTCATCTATGAGAAAGAAGATATTGACGATAAACTACATATAGTGGATATTGTGGATAGTATTGAGAACCTTTTTGATATACATGCCCCTGTTAAGACACGTAGAATTACAAAGTCTCCTGCACCTTGGTTAACGGGCATTATTTCACAAATGATGAAAGTTAGGGATAGGGCTCTTAGCAGATTTAAAATTACGAGGAATAACCAGCACTGGATGTTTATAAGAAAGTGCGAAACTCCACCTCTAAAGTTATTTTGAGGAAAAAAAGGCTTTTTTCAACTCGAAACTCAGTGTACCTAACAATAAACAATGCCGGAACATATTAAAAATTACTGAAGTTCTGCCCGTGAAGGCTAAAGCTGATATTCCACCTCATTTGCAAAATTTAAACAAAATCAATAATTTTTTTGTTAATAACTTACCTAATATCTCTCCATCAGTTGATATTATATCCCAATGTGATAGTAAGGTACTTTATGACTCCAACTTTAAACTATTCCCAGTTTACCAGTCTTTGGTATCCCAAACTCTTTGCCAAATAAAAACCAATGCA